TTTTTTTTGGGTTTTTTTTTTTTTTTAAAAAAAAAAAAAAAAAAAAAAAAAACCATCCCTCACGCACTTTCGTCACCATATAATTTACCCCACGATTACTTTCCAATTTTCGAAAATTCATTTCAGAAATTTCCTCTTCGCCAAAATTAAATACATCGACGCAACTCACCGTCCCGTTACCATTCGCCAATGGAAATTCGTCAATTTTCATATCCCATATTTCGCTCTCTTTAATTCTACCCTCCACATTATCCTCGACATCCACTTTTCGTAAGTCCAACCTAGGAATCCAGTCGATAACCATTAAAGTCCCTATTACCGTCACGACACGTGTCATCGTCTACGGCAATACGAATATAAAAACAAGGACAAGGAGAGCCTCGAAACTGAAAGTGAATCCAACAAATAAAACTACGGCCGCACGAATGACGATTTCATAAAATCCAGGATAAACGGCAACCCGTCCCATCCCAATCGTCGCTTAAAGAAATAACCCACGAATCCGAAGAACTCCGCAGTCCGTATTTCGTTGATAGAATCAAAGTCCCCGCTGATTATAAAACTCATTAGACACCCCTAATAATTGTATCAGCTCGTAGGCGATTATAACTCGACTATCAGCACGGTCGCCGAACCACGAGTATTTCAACTATTTCCTCAATGTCTAGTGGCTACGTGAAATAGGAACTTTATTTGCATATATATATATATATACACACTATATATAAACACACGTATATATAGCGTATGATAAAATCCAGTACCGCAAGGGTGCAGATTCTTGTGGTTGGATATGTCACGTTTATATACACACACATATATATATATATATATACACAGTAATTTCGGTTCACTTTGATGCTCTAATTTAAATACATATTAATACAACACGAGTAATATCCAGGCTGCCGTAGGTATCCTTACTTTGTCAGGTGCGAACCCAGCGACTTTACGTGTAACCAATCAACACGTTTGGCTATGCATACGAAGTAACCCGTCGGGTACAGGCCTTACATATAAATCAATTCGAATCAGATGCTGTGCCTTCTATGAGACGATGGAGGGATAGGTAAGGGGGACAACCTCCTGCCACGTGGTCCATGCGTGATGCACAATGACGTCTGCTTATTGAGGGTACCTACGAGAGTGACTGTGACTGTACCGTACGTGTACGGGATAGCCTGAGCGACTGAGTAACTCATTGACTGAGACGAGTGACTCTTGAGGGAATGTGGTATCGGTGCAAGAGGATGAATTTGAAGATTCGAATTATAATTTTATACCGGGTAACGGCTTTATAGCGGTATCGGAGACTTCGGGTTCCTTCATTTGAATTTCAAGCAGTTATAAGAGCCGAAACCGCCTGTTACGCTATAAGTTGCTAATCGATTTTTAGTCGATCGCTAGTTCGACTTCCGGTCGACCTACCGAGCACCGGATGGATCGGAGCACCTTTGTAATTTACGCAAATGCTCCGATTCTCTCTCTCTCTCTCTCTCTCTCTCTCTGGTCTCCAGTGGAGTTTTCTCGGGGATTCAATCTCCCGCTCGCCGGACTCTGCCATTATCCGAATTGAATGGCAGCCGGAAGGGGGCGTCTTTTTGGAAGGGATGCGAAAAAGCGCACAGCCAGCAAACGTCGATTCGGGATTTGGATGAAGATTTCGAGTGTGGATTTGTCGCGTGTCTTCACGGCTTTGTGATTTCGAGGAGACGATTTTCTGTGAGATCAGTTGAGACGGGTTTTTTTTTTGTTTTGATTTGGCTATACAGTAGAAGATTGCCGTATAACGATTTTTTGTTTTTATAATTTTTTTGAATTTATACTACCAGACTGAGATTTTGAAAAAAAAATTTATTCCGTATTACAGGTGTATATAAGCCCGTTCGACCAGGGTTGGAAAGTGATGCTGGTCGGATAGGACTGCGAGGGCAAGCTGCAAAAGTTTTTCCTTTATTTGCCACGGTACAGTCGGCCGCATAAATGCAAAAACATGTTTAAGATGTTATCTCGAGCGGGCTGCATTCAAAGTTAAGACATTAAATGTACATTAGGACTGTTACCTGGGCGTACTACTTACCTAGGGCAAAGCGCTCCCGGGGCTTCCTAGCGCGGAGCCAGAGGCCGGCGTGAGAGCGAGAGAGAGAGTGCGATAGGGGATCGAGGTGAATAGAGAGAGACACTAGCCATTCCCGGCTACATAATAATAACGAGAAAGTTCCTCCACCGGCGAAAAAAGATATATGCATTGAGATTACAATAAACCGTCCGCTTATACCGTAACTCAGTGGGATTTCGCGGGAGTTCGCGGCGCTTCGTGAATTCCATTTAAAAGTTACGTATCGCCTGTCAACGTTGATGCTACCGGTCGAGCCTGCAAGTTCGGAGTTGACGTTTTCTTGACGCACGGTTTAAATTCCTGAGTGACGTAATACGAAATAGTTATGTACCTAACCTAACACGACGAACTAACTTGGGTCCGGACAGACGCGCCGGTTCGTTGGGCAAATTTTTCATGCATTCGTAATGCACCGAACTCGCGATGAATTTTTGTAAATTAAAAAATTTTTTTTTTTTTTTTTCGAATTCTTATTCGAGCAATTGTTTTTTCCTCATATCAACGTATTACAACGATCCAATTATCGAAATTCGTATTTCCTTGTCGTTCGCTCGCTAAACTTTATTCCAGCGTTGAGGGTGGTCCGGGAGAGTTGTAGTTTGGTTTTTCTTTTCTTTTTTGGCTGTATTTTCTTTTTTTCTTTCCAGCTAGTTTTACTTCCACGGCGAATACACAGCGGCTAGATGGTAACTATTGGATTTGATATCCCGCGAAAGTTGGAAGAAACTGTTGCGATACGGTTGACAGATACGGCATTCGTAATGAGGTTTT